TAAATAATAGTTTGCTATTAAAATTGCCTTTTTGACACCAACTTTGTTCTCATTTTTCATTCTAATGATAACATTTAGCTATTGATCAGCAAGTAAATAAGAATAATCAAATTTTTATAATTACCGAATACATTTCACGCTAATTGTGAGACGAACCCTAAATGACGTCTGTATGGGCGCTGCCATTTTGAAATGGACGTCATGTCAGGCTACAACGTAAGTCAACGGGGAAAAATATAATTTTAACATTATGACCATATTACTGACTTTATGGAAAAAATGAAAAACATGCCTAGAGATATTGACGTCAGGGTTAGCATGACATTAATTTAAATGATTTTACTATTATATTTAATAAACAAGAGGGCCATGATGGCCCTGAGGTCGCTCACCTGTATATAGGCCCAACCAACCCCCACCCCCCAACGTTGCAGGGCCAATTTTAACCCAAAGGCTTTTATTTGCACACACTTGGTAGACACCCATAAGAAGATGTTTCATGCTAAACATCTAAGCTCTAGCTCATTGGGCTTTTTAAAAGAAGATTTTTTTAAAGTTTTTACTATACACATTTAGTTAAAAACAATGACACCCCTGGGGCGGGGCCAGTTTTGACCCCAGGGCTTTTATTTGAACAAACTTTGTAGACACTTACTAGAAGATGTTTCATGCTTAATATCTAAACTCTAGCTATTTGGGTTTTTTCAAAGAAGATTTTAAGTTTTTGCTATACACATATAAAGAAAATCAATGACCCCCCCGGGCGGGGCCAATTTTAACCCCAGGTCTTTTATTTGAACAAACTTTGTAGACACTTACTAGAAGATGTTTCATGCTTAATATCTAAACTCTAGCTATTTGGGTTTTTTCAAAGAAGATTTTAAGTTTTTGCTATACACATATAAAGAAAATCAATGACCCCCCCGGGCGGGGCCAATTTTGACCCCAGGTCTTTTATTTGAACAAACTTTGTAGACGCTCACTAAAAGATGTTTCATGCTTAATATCTTAACTCTAGCTATTTGGGTTTTTTCAAAGAAGATTTTTTAAGATTTTGCTATACACATATAAGGAAAATCAATGACCCCCGGGGCTGTGCCAATTTTGACCCCAGGGCTTTTATTTGAACAAACTTGGTAGACACCTATTAGAAAATGTTTGATGCTGAATATCTTAGCCATAGCTCTTTGAGTTCTTTAAAAGAAGATTTTTTAAGTTTTTACTATATGCATATAGGGAAAATCAATGACCCCCCCTATCCCCCGGGGCGGGGCCAATTTTAACCCCAGGGCTTTTATTTGAACAAACTTGGTAGACACTTATTAGAACATGTTTCATGCTAAATATCTTAGCTCTAACTCTTTTGGTTCTTTAAAAGAAGATTTTAAGTTTTTACTATATGCATATAGGGAAAATCAATGACCCCCCGGGGCGGGGCCAATTTTGACCCCAGGGCTTTTATTTGAACAAACTTGGTAGACACTCACTAGAAGATGTTTCATGCCAAATATCTAAGCTCTAGCTCTTATGGTTTTTGAAAAGAAGATATTTAAAGTTTTTTCTTTCGGTTGCCATGGCAACCAGAGTTCTGCATGGAATTAAATTCTTTGAACAATTTTTAAAGGTGACCACCAAAGGAACATTCCTGTGAAGTTTGGATGAAATTGGCTAAGTGGTTTATGAGGAGATGTCATTTAAAGTAAAAGTTTACGGACGGACGGACGCCGGACGAAAAGCGATCACAAAAGCTCACCCTGTCACTTTGTGACAGGTGAGCTAAAAATGGAATATTCAAATTTGATGGGACAGACTATAGATGGTAAAAGTATTTAATATTTTACAAGATCAGCCAATACACTTTTGAAAAAATTTAGGGGAACTTTGAAAACAGGCACTCATTTAAGTAAATTTTGGCGATTTTTATGCTCCCCGAAGGTAGAGCATAAAGTTGCCACCTTGTCCTTCTGTCCGTACAAACCCAGAGGTACTTGTGTGACTTGGAGAACAATAGGTAACAGTAAATTCTCTTTGATCCTATTCATTCTGTGTGTCTTTTTTAAGCCTTGTGTGACTAAAAATGGCTAAAAAGATTAAAGGAAAAGTCACATAAGTACCATTTCGTAAGTATGTCCGTCTGTCAGTCTGATGTCTTATCCGGAGCATAACTTGAAAACCCTTGGAGATAATTTGTTTAAACTTCACTAAGTGGTAGAGGGCATTGAGGTGGATTGCAATGCACAAGAACCATAACTCTATTTGCCCCGTTTTTGAATTATCTCCCCTTTTAGAAAAATCTAAAACTATAAGAGATATCAACATGAAACTTGTAGGTAAATAGATCTCAATGGGTAGATGTGCAGTGCACAAGAACCATAACTCTTTTTGCCTAATTTTGGAGTTATTGCCCTTTGTTCATTTTAACACTTTGCACTATGTCAGGAACATAGCTCTTAGGTTATAAGAGATATCAACATGAAACATTGTAGGTAGATAGATATCATTGAGTAAAAGTGCAGGTGCAAAAGAACCATAATTCTATTTATCCTCGTTTTTGAATTATCTGCCCTTTTAGAAAAATCTTGTCCAGGACAATAGCTGTAAAACTATAAGAGATATCAACATGAAACTTTGTAGCTAGATAGATCTCAATGAGTAGATTTGCAGTGCACAAGAACTTGAACTCCGCCTTGCAAAATTTTGGAGTTATTCCCAATTGTTCAGTTTTACATTTTGAACTTTGTCTGGGACATAACTGGGAAACCATAAGAGGTACCAACAAGAAACTTTGTAGGTTGATAGATCGCATTGATATGAAGTGCAGTGCAAAGAACAGTAACTCTGCCTTGCCTAATTTTGGAATTATTGCACTTTGAACTTTTTCTAGGGACATAACTCAAGAGGCAGTGTTCAATCTAGAACAAATTCCCAGTGGGCCCTACGGGCCCATAAACTTTTCAAAAGGGGGTCATTTGAGAAAAAAGGGGGTCCACACTTAAAAAAACATCAAATTCAAATAAGGTATTGAATCTTTTAAGTTACTTGTTCACGTACCATAAAATATAAGACCAAAAACGGTTGCAAAATTCCAAAACAATCAATTCACTAAAAAAATGACATTATTTAGACCTTTTTTGAGAGTTCTGTTAGCGTTGATACAGGCTCAATTTTAAGAACTGATTGGTAAAGAAACGATGACATAATGTTCAAAGAAACAAATGAATCTTATTTCAATGTTACCAGGGATATTTGATAATAATGTTCAGTTTTTTAATCAGCCCCCGATATATAAAAGAAAATCATATTTCCCAATTAGCTTTGTTGATGAAGACTATAAACTTACAATAGTCGCTAAAAACATTTACCCTTCTCAATATATTATCCAAGCAAAAAACAAAGTGTCAACAGGTGCTAAGGCAAATTGTATATTGACATACCATACCTTTGATCTTTTGTCAGGGCAGCAGTTCTTACGTCACGCTTAAGATGTCTGTATTGATTAATGATATTTGAAAGCATTTTTCAAAAGATGGTGAATAAAATAAATCTTTTAAGAAACAAGACCCCGCTTTAAGGGTTTAAAAGCATGTGCCTGTTTTTAAACGTTACGGGGTCTGTCCAAGAAAGAGTGTCGGTTGTGGAAAGGATATATATCTAAGTTTAACTTCTTTGTTAGAAAGATTAGTACAGTCGGCATCGTACTTGCGTCCACCTTTATTGAGCGACTTTTTTATTAAGCGGCCGCATAAAAACCCTCCCGATGATTTTTACTATATAAGTTAATTCCATTAAACGACGATTTTATATCGCGGCCAGCGGCCACTAAATGTCGGCCCAAATGTACAAAATTCAGTGTTAAAGTATCTATTAAACGGCCGTGACAAACAATCGTCCCTACGGACATTCTCACCTGTATAATTAGCGAGTACTTTGTAAGTTTGAACAAACAAATATTTTTCATGGTCATTGGTCTTAAAGTATTTATTAAACGGCCGTCAATTAGACTGTCACAAATAATTGTCGTTTAAAAACGAATTGAATAACAATTGCAGTCGTTTCAAAATCGGAAAGAAAGAAACAGTTTTCCGATAGTAATATTTATTGTGACATATTTTGTCAGAGCAATAACGTATCACAACACCGCATTGGCACAGTTTTGTCATGTGCTCAGAGTGACCTCCCTTCCAGAAAATCAAATCGAAAATGACGTCGGAACGAGCGAAAAAATGACAGACAACAAATAATACCGGATAAATTGAATGAGGAAATCGTGCATGGAATTGAGTCTGAGTAAATAGCAAATGCCATCGTTTGTGGTCGAAATAAAATCGCGAAACGTAGTGGACTAAACATTACAAAACCGAGCCTTTCATTGCTGATGGTGTAGGTGCTCATCTGATGCTTTATAAAATACATGTTGTACCCCATTAAATATGACTCTTCGACCAAAAAAAAAAAATAATGTAAGATCTCTAAAACTTTAATGTTTTGAAATCGGGGTAGTGTGAAAACTAAATTGCTGAAAAAATCAAGAAGTTTACAACTCATTGAATGAAAAATTATCTAGAGGTCTGGCTGATGATTTGAAAGTATGTTCAGCAGGAGATATGTATGAACATATTAATAATATATGACAATATGCTTTGTTTCAAGGTCAAAATGACCTGTTAATAGTATTTTGAGCGTAGATCACATTTGTACACAAATTTCTACTTAAAAAAACAAACACATATTGATGACTTTTTTAAACGAAAGGCATCAATGTAATTATGAAACTGTAATAAATATATAATATTGTACAGTTTTTGTTTTTATAAAAATATGTTATTATATCTATGACTTGTAATATAAAAAGTCTTGAATTTTCCAGAATTCTATTGAGAGACCACTTTATTAAGAGACCACTTTTTGGCAGTCCCTTGGGTGGTCTCTTAATACAATGTATACTGTATGTGATTGTATTCCAATCATAATGAACAATTATATGTACTTATATTTTTCAGATAAAACTTTGTTGGTTGGAGTACTTGTAGGGGCTGGCTTTTCCTTGTTCATTTTTATTCTGTGTTGTGTGTTGTATAAGGCCCTGCTATATTACAGGTATATATTATTAATATATAGCACAATTACTGCAACATTTATTGTTTTCTTTTTATTAAGAATTGTGTTCAATAAAACCTTGTTTCTTATTTTTATCATTTACTTTTTCTTTTCAAAATGTTATTTTTCTAGCTCACCTGACCTTGCTCAGGGTGAGCTTTTAGGCTTTTTGAATGTCCGTCGTCCATCCACATTTGTTCGTTAACACTCTAGCGGTCACATTTTTGCCTCAATCATCATCAAACTTTGTCAGGACACTTGTCTAGGTAATTGCTCGAATGAGTTTAAACATGGGTCGTCTCAGATGAAAAACTAAGTAACAGGAGCTAAAAAAAAGAAAAAATTTGTTGACATTCTAGTGGCTACTGTTTTGATCCAAATATCCTGGAAATTTGTATGAAAGTTTGTTTTGATAATTTCTAGGTCAAGTTTGAATATGGGTCACCTGGGGCCAAAAACTAGGTCAACCCCCCCACCCCTCCCATATGGAAAAACCTTGTTAACATTCTAGTTGTCGCATTTTGTACTCAATTGTCATCAAATGTGATCAGGATGCTTGTCTAGGTAATTGCTCTAATAAGTTTGAACATGGGTCATCTTGGATGAAAAACTATGTCACATGAGCTAAAAATAGAAAAATCTTGTTAACATTCTAGTGGCTACTGTTTTGATCCAAATATCCTAGAAATTGGTCTGAAAGTTTGATGATTTCTAGGTCAAGTTCGAAGATGGGTTACCTGGGGTCAAAAACTAGGTCTCACCACCCTAGTATGGAAAAACCTTGTGAACACTCAAACTTGGTCAGGATGCTTGTCTAGGTAATACACCCATAAACACTTTCAATATGATCTACGTAAATAACCGAGGTATATCGAGTTGCTTCCCTTATCTTAAAGTAAAATCGATACCGCTTATGCTAAAACAATACACAATAAGCCGTTTTTAAACCACTAGTTTGTTGTTATTAAATGTCCGATTTTAAAATGTATTACACCAATAGAAAGAATTGGATCTTAGCTTCATCACAGTATAAACTTCAACACATTTTTTGAATCCAAAGTATTTAAATTAACTGTTAAACCTACCATATGTCAGACCATTTTACAGACGATTTATACAGTGAGATACACAACCTGTTATCTTTACTCGAAATACTACTGAATAGCCTGTCTCTGCTAGTTCTGAAAGTGTTTATGGGATGAGTTTGAACATGGGTCATCTCAGATGAAAAACTAGTTCACAGGAGCTAAAAATAGAAACATCTTGTTAACACTCTAGATAGTGATCCAAATATCCTGGAAATTGGTCTGAAAATTTGTTTTGATGATTTCTAATTCAAGTTTGAATATTGGTCATTTGGGCACACTGCTCAAATATGGCAAAACCTTGTTAATACTCTACAGGTTACATTTTTGACTCAACTGTCATTAAACTTGCATAGACAGGATGCTTGTTAGGTAATTGCTATGGAGTAGGATAGGATGAGTTCCATGGGTCAGGTGAGCGATCTAGGGCCATCTTGGCCCTCTTGTTTATAAATTGCACAACCTGTTTTATACACTACATTTGATTTATTATGCCCCCACTTCGAAGAAGAGGGGGTATATTGCTTTGCATTTGTCTGTCTGTCTGTCGGTCTGTAGACCAAAATAAATGGTTTCCAAGTGATAACTAAAGAACCCTTAGGCCTAGGGACTTCAAACTTGGTATGGTGATTGGTCATGACCAGTAGATGATCCCTATCGATTTTGGGGTCAAGGGGTCAAAGGTCAAGGTCACATTGACCTTGTAGGTGAAAACAGTTTCCGATCAATAAATAAAGAACCCTTAGGCCTAGGAACTTCAAACTTGTTTTGGTGATTGGTCATGACCAGAAGATGATCCCTATTGATTTTGGGGTCAAGGGATCAAAGGTCAAGGTCACATTGACGTTGTAGGTAAAACAGTTTCCGAGTGATAACTAAAGAACCCTTAGGCCTAGGAACTTTAAACTTGGTATGGTGATTGGTCATGACCAGTAGATGACCCCTATTGATTTTTGGGTCAAGGGGTCAAAGGTCAAGGTCACATTGACCTTGTAGGTGAAAATCGTTTCCGCGTGATAACTAAAGAACCCTTAGGCCTAAGAACTTCAAACTTGGTATGGTGATTGGTCATGACCAGTAGATGACCCCTATTGATTTTGGGGTCAAGGGGTCAAAGGTCAAGGTCACATTGACCTTGTAGGTAAAAACGGTTTCCGATCAATAATTAGAGAACGCTTAGGCCTTGGAACTTCAATCTTGTTTTGGTGATTGGTAATGACCAGTAGATGACCTGTATTGATTTTGGGGTCAAAGGTCAAGGTCACATTGACCTTGTAGGTAAAAACTGTTTCTGATCAATAACTTAAGATCGCTTAGGCCTAGGAACTTCAAACTTGGAATGGTGACTGGTCATGACCAGCAGATGACCCCTATTGATTTTGGGGTCAAAGGTCAAGGTCACATTTACTTGAAGTTGAAAATTGTTTCCACTCTTTACCTAAAGGACGCTTAGGCCTAGGAATTTCAAACTTGTTTTGGTGATTGGTCATGACCAGAAGATGACCCCGATTGATTTTGGGGTCAAAGGTCAAGGTCACATTGACCCTGTAAGTAAAAACGGTTTCTGCTCAATAAATAAAGAACACTTAGGCCTAAAACTTTAAACTTTATATTATGATTCATCATGACCAGTAGATGACCCCTATTGATTTTGGGGTCAAGGGGTCAGTGTCAAATTGACCTTGTACTTTAAGATGGTTTCTGACCAATAACTCAACAAGTCAAGTTGCCTTGGTTAATATTTTTATATTAAACTAAAAATGCTTTTGGTATACACATTTGAAGGTCTTATGTAATATAACATCTTGGCTGTCATTAATGAGGCCTACATGATTCATAAAATTTATGCATATTTTATTTGGTAAGATTTGTAATAACTTTAATTGCTGTACACAACCGATGGGGTCACAATAATTATTACCTTGTGACTTAAGTCATGACCAGTAGATAACCCTTATTAAATTTTTGTTCACTTGGTCAGAAGTCATGCATAATAACCTGATCACATGACTAATTGGCTGCCCATAGGGGGCATACATGTTTTACAAACATATCTTGTTTTAGTTTTTTCTTCTTCAAAGACCAATGTCGTAATGCAAAGATAACCATGTGGTCTTTAAATTCAGGCAGCCAATTACTGTATTTAGTTATAAAGATATTTGACACTTGATGAACAGATAAAAACTAAGAAAAAATATTACCAAAACAATTTCAGGGTACAAATTAATAATTTAGAATCCGTATATACATCAACTTCTAAGTATGTTGTGTTGTGAGTAACTTTCTGTCGTTTAAAGTTTTTTCACTTTTTACTAATTCTACTTGGTTGTGTTATAAGGGCTCGTAGATTGGCGTTTATAAATGGTGACACAGACAGTTTGAAAACATCTCACATGCAGATTGAACTAACTAAGAAAATGCCGAAAAAGAATGGTAGTAACCAATACATCGTCAGCATGTAAGTAAATTTTTAACCCTGAAATATCATCCAGCATATTAAATAAAAAGAAATGCTAATATTGCAATGTTTTTTTTTTTCAGTTTTGGGGGAAGGGGGTCAGTGCCCATTGGGTGGAGAAAAATAGCGCGTAAACGCCAAAAAAGGGGAATTTTCAGTTTATTAATATTCAATAAAAAGACTAAAAATACATGATTTTTTAACAATCCTATAAAATAAATTAGTTGAACACTTTCTTCGCTTACTGTGTTTTCAAAATTGAAGTAATGCTATTGATATTTTTTTGTTTCTTATATTTTTCAGATTTTTTTTCAATAACAACAAATGTTAACTCCACCAGCATATCATTAGCCATTATTCACACAGATTTGTTATGAAATTTTGCATACACAGGGTTAGTACAGTCTTAAAAAGTGCTTAAATTTCTGTCCTTTTCTTAAAAAGTGCTTAAAAATGATAAAAAGTGCTTAAAAGTCCTTGAATTTGATTACTAACTTGAAAAGTGCTTAAAAAGTGCTTAAATTGGCTACAAATGTGCTTGAAAATGATTGAATGACTGACTAGTGTCGGTTAAAATCAAGTTACCAGATTTTGATATGTAACGATCATCGCGAGATCACCGCATTACCCCACCCACTGCAATTATGTATAATGCTAATGATTTTTACTTACCATTCAATGACTATTGGCATTATTTATGTTAAAAAATTTAATAATGTAGATATATATTATATTGTCATGTTATAGTATTTATATTTAAAAGAAACAGAAAACCTATGAAAGAAAAACATAAATCACAAATGGAAACAGTTAGCCATTACAATTGTAGTGAAAGCTTCCAGCATTAGTTTTGCCCCTTAGTTAATCAAACACCATTTTTCTGTATCAGTAAAAAGTGTAGGCTTTATGATTGTGTGTGATTAACTTAATTCAGCAATGTTTGCATGTCACAGTATAAGTTGAGATTTTTTGCAACAATATGATGCCTGACTGATTGACAGGTAATATAACAAAAGAGCGGATTAACGATTACCTCGAGGGTTAAGCGCAAGACTGTAGTAACTACCATTTTTTCTGAAAATGACTTTTTTTGAATTTCCTGTATTATTTGGTATTTTACATCATGTGGTAAATTTTTTTGTTTTTATTTTACTTCATTTCATAATTTTTTTATAAATACTTTACTGTAGTAACTCAAAAGATAAAGATATTTTACTGCAAAACTGTTGTAACTGGACTTACTACAGTTTTGCACTTAAAAAGAAATGAAATTTTTCTTTCATTTCAATGCAAGACTGTAGTAACTGTGTAGTTACTACAGTCTTGCACTGAAAATAATATTATTTGCCCTTACATTTTCATGTAAGGCTGTAGTAACTCACAAGGCAATACATTATGATATCATCAATGATCACATTTCAAAGGAGGATGACACTACACATGTATATCTATATATCATTCTATATTTTAGCAACATTTTTTGTCTGTGTATTTCAAAACTGCAAATGAATATGGAGTTTTCAGTTGAAATCTTAGATGTTTCATGGGTTTAACAGTTATACATGTATAAGTAAACCCTTCATTTATATCAGAAGTGGAAGTATGTTGTTCTAAATAAGGAAAAAAAACAACATTTTTATCTACAGTAAAAAATGCACCACCTCTGTATTGTTTACTGTATTAGCCAGTTATCAATGCTTTACTTTTGGCAAGTATTGTTTGGCAATATTGACTCATTAATTTTTGGAAGCTTTTTCTTGACTTTTGTAATTTCTTATGATTTTATTATTGTTTTTAATGAAACGAAAGTTGTCGATACTTCATTTTATATTAACATTCCAATGGTCAAGTGTTTTCGCAAAGTTGCAAGTTCGAATTTTTCAAAAACTTTTTGAAAGGTTTCTTTTATATGCAGTATTAATGAATGAATCATTTCTTTGATTTCTTATGTCTTTTCTTTTAAAAAAAATCATAACTTTGATATATAGATGTATATTTCTAAAGTTTCATAATTTCAATTTGTACAGTTGTACAATGTTTGATTTGGCCTACGCAAAAACTTAATAGTAGTTTCACAAAATATAATAAAAAGCAACATAAAAAACCCCATAAAAACATATTGTTTCATTAAGATTTGAACCTACAACCTTCACTTTGAAACTAAGTGTCTTAATTAAAAAAATAGATGAACTAAGAGAATTTCAAGTTTGTATTAAAAATTTAACTTTTGTTAGTGATGCAGTATCAGAGGTACATAGGCAAAATGACTAAAGTCAGTATTTCTTGTTTCAGAAAAAAATTGGATTTTTGTTAATTATGTCCTACATAGCTTCAATACATAAAATAAGAAAGTACCATGAATGTCAGTATAATCATACTTGTGACTGCTGCACAGAATAATGTTCTATTGACATCACAATTAATATTAATAATGAAGAACCATCTCCCTGAACCCTCGCCCCTTTGTTACAATGATGTTAAAGATTAAAGGTTACTTTAACACTATCATTTATCTTATTTCAACAAGATATGTTTGTAAAACATGTATGCCCCCTATCAGCAGCCAATTAGTCATGTGATAAGGTTATTATGCATGACTTCTGACCCAGTGATCAAACAATTAAAAAGGATTATCAAGTATCTACTGGTCATGACCTTAACCTTTGACCCCTTGACCCAAAACTCAATAGGGGTCATCTACTGGTCACGACCAATCATCATACAAAGTTTGAAGTTCCTAGGCCTAAGCGTTTTTAGTTAATTGATCAGAAACCGTTTTTACCTTCAAGGTCAATGTGACCTTGACGTTTGCCCACTTGACCCCAAAATCAATAGGTCATCTGCTGGTCATGACCAATCACCATACCAAGTTTGAAGTTCCTAGGCCTAAGGGTTCTTTAGTTATTGATCGGAAACCGTTTTAACATACAAGGTCAATGTGACCTTGACCTTTGACCCCAAAATCAATGAGGGGCATCAGCTGCTCATGACCAATCACCATGCCAAGTTTGAAGTTCCTAGGCCGAAGCGTTCTTTAGTTATTGATCAGAAACCGTTTTACTTACAATGTCAATGTGACCTTGACTTTGACCCCTTGATCGGGTAATCTGCTGGTCATGACAAATCACCATGCCAAGTTTGAAGTTCCTAGGCCTAAGCGTTCTTAAGTTATTGATCAGAAACCGTTTTTACTTACAAGGTCAATGTGACCTTGACCTTTGACCCCTTGACCCAAAACTCAATAGGGGTCATCTGCTGGTCACGACTAATCATCATACAAAGTTTGAAGTTCCTAGGCCTAAGTTTTTAGTTAATTGATCGGAAACCGTTTTTTACCTACAAGGTCAATGTGACCTTGACCTTTGACCCCTTGACCCCAAAATCAAAAGGTCATCTGCTGGTCATGACCAATCACCATACCAAGTTTGAAGTTCCTAGACCTAAGGGTTCTTAAGTTATTGATTGGAAAGCATTTTTACCTACAAGGTCAATGTGACCTTGCCCTTTGACCCCTTGACCCCAATATCAATAGGGGTCATCTGCTGGTCATGACCAATCACCATACCAAGTTTGAAGTTCCTAGGCCTAAGGGTTCTTTAGTTATTGATCGGAAACCGTTTTTACCTATGAGGTCAATGTGACCTTGACCTTTGACCCCTTGAACCCAAAATCAATAGGGGTCATCTACTGATCATGACCAATCATCATATCAGTTTGAAGTCCCTAGGCCTAAGGGTTCTTTTGTTATTGATCGGAAACCGTTTTTACCCAAGAGGTCAATGTGACCTTGACCTTTGACCCCTTAACCCCAAAATCAATAGGGGTCATCTGCTGGTCATAACCAATCACCATACCAAGTTTGAAGTTCCTAGGCCTAAAAGTTCTTTAGTTATTGATCGGAAACCGTTTTTGCTTACAAGGTCAATGTGACCTTGACCTTTGACCCCTTGACCCCAAAATCAATAGGGGTCATCTACTGATCATGACCAATCACCATACCAAGTTTGAAGTTCCTAGGCCTTAAAGTTCTTTAGTTATTGATCGGAAACCATTTTTCCTTACAAGGTCAATGTGACCTTGACCTTTGACCCTTGACCCCAAAATCAATAGGGGTCATCTACTGATCATAACCAATCACCATACCAAGTTTGAAGTTCCTAGGCCTTAAGGTTCTTTAGTTATTGATCGGAAACTGTTTTTCCTTACAAGGTCAATGTGACCTTGACCTTTGACCCCTTGACCCCAAAATCAATAGGGGTCATCTACTGATCATGAACAATCACCATACCAAGTTTGAAGTTCCTAGGCCTTAAGGTTCTTTAGTTATTGATCGGAAACCGTTTTTGCCTACAAGGTCAATGTGACCTTGACCTTTGACCCCTTGACCCCAAAATCAATAGGGGTCATCTACTGATCATAACCAATCACCATACCAAGTTTGAAGTTCCTAGGCCTTAAGGTTCTTTAGTTATTGATCGGAAACTGTTTTTCCTTACAAGGTCAATGTGACCTTGACCTTTGACCCCTTGACCCCAAAATCAATAGGGGTCATCTACTGATCATGAACAATCACCATACCAAGTTTGAAGTTCCTAGGCCTTAAGGTTCTTTAGTTATTGATCGGAAACCGTTTTTGCCTACAAGGTCAATGTGACCTTGACCTTTGACCCCTTGACCCCAAAATCAATAGGGGTCATCTACTGGACATGACCAATCACCATACCAAGTTTGAAGTTCCTAGGCCTAAGGGTTCTTTAGTTATCACTCGGAAACCATTTGGTCTACGGACCGACGGACCGACGGACCGACAAGTGCAAAGCAATATACCCCCTTTTCTTCGAAATGGGGGCATAATTATTATTAATTGAGTTACTACAGTGTTGCAATTAATATTGTAAATAGATGCCCTCATTTTGTGCATGTTATACTGTAGTAAGTCTAGTTACTACTGTCTTGCACTCAGAATAATTTTCAAAATATTACCATTTGAGCGCAAGAGT